TTTTTGTGATTTAAGCAGAGGATCAAGAAAATATTTAAATGTATTACCCCATATTTCCATACAGTATGTCAAATATGGCAAAATTGAGAAATTATACAGCATTACTAAAATGTGCTTTAGAACTTATTTTGCGTGTTATTTTCTTGATGTGTTCTTTCCATGTAAGGAAGCTATCCAAAATTACACCAAGGTCAGAGGCGGCGGTACGTAATTTTGCCGATGGCTGCCCCCTAAAATTTTTTTATTCTAAATCCTCTGAAACGCTATTTCCTGCATTTTGAGGGGCAAATTGTGCTGACGCAACGGGGTTCAGTATGCTTTTGGAGGGTAGATAGAATGAGATACATATTCGATCTGTTTATTGTTAATTGAGAGCTCACAGATAGTTACATGCCTTTGGTTAGTTTTAAAAATCGTGTAACTGGCTCTCTTACATAAAAAATAACGAAATCATGTCGTGTTATTTTGTTTAGTTGGAAAAACAGTCCGAACAAACAGACAGAAATACTAGGTACCCACTGAAATAAGTGACAAGGCCTCAAAACGGGATGTCTGGTTATTTTACTTTTTTTCTGTTGGGAAAACAGTCCTGAGGAATGCACAATAATATGGGGTACCAAACCCCCAGTACTGGGTTTCGGGTTGGCAATAAGTCGGCACCAACAAACCGTGCGATTCGGGCGATTGCGTACCTATTATTTTGTAGTACTTTAAGTATCGCCACGCTATCGGCTTTAACGATCACCAAAACTTTTATAAAACTGCCAGTAAATAAATAATAAAATCAAATAATGTACCCGGTGTATGACAAATAAATGATTGAAATCATATTTTAAAAAAAATAAAAAGCTCAAACTAGTATCTCAGATTGATATACTATTCAACTTAAATCTGGGGTCTTTGGTAGTAATGATTGCTACCAATAAATAAATAAATATATATATAAATAAATATATATATAAATAAATAAATAAATAAATAAATAAATAAATAAATAAATAAATAAATAAATAAATAAATAAATAAATAAATAAATAAATAAATAAATAAATAAATAAATAAATAAATAAATAAATAAATAAATAAATAAATAAATAAATAAATAAATAAATAAAAATGAGAAAAATGTAACACGGCACTGAAAAGGGCACACACTGCATAATTCTGAATAGAATGCAAAAGCTATTTACACTGGCCAGAACCAAATGCGCATCGTGGTCAAAAGAGCTACTACATCTTCCACGACAAAATACACGGCAGCAACAATTCTATTTACAAAATATTTCAAAAACTAAGTATAACTTTGGTTTGACTGATTGATGCATTTTGAAGACCGTAAGTACAGTGTGTGAGTTACAAAACAACAATTAAAGAGAACCGTGTCCTGCTCGATATGGGACTCATAGCGACGTACTCAACGCGTGTAAAATACATTGTTTGTTTACATGAAATTGGTACACGCCCTGCACGACGACCACCGCCCTTTATTAGTAATATGTGTTTTGAAAATGCTTACTGAGATAAAATGCGGGTAGTACAGTTGCAGCACGACTGTTTGTAAATTGCTTTCTTTGATTGTTGCGATAATATGTACGTGCACGTACAAGACTCTAGTATTTTCATTCAGCGGTGTATATTATTATAATGTCTCTTGGATACCGTGACTATTTTTTTGCATAAATTAAATATGTCCGCCCACAGGGTGAAGTGAAAGTCGAATTCTTTATTCAGCGATTGCTTCACGAAGACCTTTATTATTTCTAATTTACAGTACAATACAGTACAGTTATGTCAAAGGAAGACGCAGCAGAAGCCGCTACGGCGGTTGGTGGCGGCGTGGACACTCAGACAGACGAAACGTCAGCGAAACTGTACGATCTTGTAAATTTGAAAGGAGGTGGTTCCTTGGTTGACTTGATGAGAGAAGCTAGACGATCCGACGACTACTCGAAATTGGACGAAGCCATTAAACGCGAAGTGCCAAAGTATTTGTACAACGACGGGGACGGCGAATACATTCCGATAAGCCAGCTTGTTACAAGAAGAAACAAAGAACGTCAGACGAATAAGGTGAAAAAGAAGAAGCGTCGCCGTGGACAGATCTCAAATTCGGTGTCAATGTTGACACTCGTTGATCACAATGGCGGTACGTTTATGATCTACCGGTAGTTACCGTTCAATCTACCAATGGGCGGGATGCGGGGTGTCAATATGATAACTATTTTATCTTATTTACTATTTTATTACATGGCAATGACCGATTGACGTAGCTTTCGTTAGCTATGACCGCTTAAGAATGTAGTAGAGTTTCTCCCGGAAGTAAAATACATATTAATTATAATTCTCAGTAGAAGAGTCGTTCTGAACCATTTCAACCTACATGTATATATTTTATGAAAGTCCAGACCTCAATACGCTAAATAAAAATCAATATGACATCAGGCGCAACCCTCAATTAGTCACGTGATCAAACAATTTATTAACTCATAACCTACTAAAGAAGGTTAAAGGTTACAACAACAACAAAAATTACAGATAAAAATTAATCAAATTACAATGGCTAATAGTTTAAAGACAACCAGAAACAGACTAAATTGAAGTTAGTAACGGAAATATATAATAAAATAAAATGAAACACCAACAAAAAACTATAAACTGAATATAAAAACAAAAACCCAATGAATAGGTTTAAAAAAAAAAAAGTTAATGACTAAGTAGGTGCTGCTGTCTAATAGCAAAGCTGTATTTCAGATATTGTGCCAGAGGAATTGCTAAGTTATTATTTGACATTATTTTTATGAATTTATTTTCAGGTGTGAGATTAGTAAATCGTTAAGTAAATAAATCCATTACTGACACCCTGACTGAGACTTTGAATCATTAGAATAAAACACTAAAAACATATAGGTCAAAACGATTTTGTGTAATTTTTCTGGTTTGTTGAGCAGGTCTAAGTTTGTATTTTACTAGACTGTGGTGTCTGTTTTTATACAAGGGCCGTAAAATCTCTAGAATGCTTAAATTTATAAAAGACTCCTGAAGATTTAGGCTGAGAAAAAAAATGTCTTGTTTCCGCGCGCAACATTTTGAACTATGCACCTCGAACATTTTTGTTTCCTTCTAAAGCATTGCAAAATGCTCTTGTACTCGCACTTGTCTCAACTTCCCACCATTTTAGCTCAGTATTAAAAAAAAATCGCCTCACCGCCTCATTTTAAAATTTCCATGAAACGAGAAACAGGGAATTCTTATTTTCTGGCCTTATTGTTCATTTATACTGCATCTAGAATCACTAAAAAAAGGTGAAGAAATCCGATGAGTGCCCACGAGTATTACTATTTTAATTGAGTGATATGCGCTATTATTAAATTGCTTGAAAATGGCCGTAATGTAAACAGACAAAAAACCATAATGGTTGTGATAATATCTGATGCTGAGAACCCTGTAAACACCGTATTTCATGGTTCTATGTTGTAGGTAATACAAAGCTA